TTGGGCAAAGTTACCATGGAAAGAATATTGTGTACTTCTTCTCATGGCACATGAGTCAACTGATGCCATTGTTGAAGATGTTAATTTTAATCACCTGGTTAGGGTGACATCTGCCAGATATCTCTTGTAATTAGCAAATACTTTCAGGGAGGTACTTTGAGGCATAAAGCTTTCACATGCCCTCCTTTTAGAATCTGTTGAGTGTCACTTGAGTTATTACTGCAGTGGTGGCCAGATGATGATGCTCTAACACTATCATCTCTTCTACATTTATGAACTGACATTTTACTGTAAAAAGTAACCTTCCCTTCTTTCCCATTTAGTTATTTTTACCAGAACTGACTCATGGATGCAAAAAAATTATTTAATTCATTATGACCATTACTTACTTTATTTTGATGCTCAAATAGTCCCAGATTTGACCAGCGATAGCACAGTTTTATTTATACAAGTTTTTAAGGCTTTGCATTTTTCTCTTATTACTATTTTAAAAGTGTCCTATAGGTACTATAGTGGTGTGTCATCAGTATTTTTTTAGAAGCTATATAATTTCTATTGTTAAAGTTTTTCAATTTTTCTGGTGGAATGTCCTTTCTTATTTCTTCTTTTAATTTTCTTATTTCTAGTTTTATTGCACTGTGATGAGGTAGTCTTGTGTGTTTGTGTGTGTGTGTGTGTGTGTGTTGCCAGAGCTTAAACTCAGGGCTTTGCTCTTGGTAGGCAGGTGTTTGAACCACACCTCCAGTCCTATAGTATTGTTTTTAAAATATCTACTTTGTGGAATTTAGTGACATATTTTTCTGTGACCTAATAAATATTCATTTGCTTTTTTCTTTTATCGGTGAGTGATCCATTTGTGATTATAAAGAAGATGTATCCTCTATTATGTTCTTTCCTCTTGGATGAGTTTTGGTAGTTTTCATCAAGTAATTTGTCCATTTCATCCACTTTTTGAATTTAGTGGCTTAAAAGTTATTGATGATATTTCCTTATCCTTTTAATGTCTTTAGGATCTGTGATAATGTTTCATATATTGGTTGTTTTTTGCTCCATAACTTTTTCAAGTCTTAGTGGCTTAAAACAACAAACATTAGTTACCTGCTTCTGCAGATCAGGAATTTGGGAACAATTTAGTTGGTCAGGGTCTCACAAACTTGCAATAATGCTGTTTGCTAATACTTTGGTTATTTAAAGGTTGACCAGGGACTGGAGATGTGGCTCAAACAGTAGAGCGCGTGCTTTGCAAGTGCAATGCCATGGGTTCAAACACCAATCTCATCCAAAAAAAAAATAATTTTGCGGGGTTGGGGATTTAGCTCAGTGGAAGAGCGCTTGCCTGGCAAGTGCAAGGCCCTGAGTTTGGTCCCCAGCACCAAAAATAAAAATAAAATAAAATAAAGGTTGACCAGCCTTGCAAAATTTGCTTCCACCCTTATTTGTTTATACAACTAATCCATTCCTTAACTCATGGATTCATTTCTTAACTCATGGATCTCTATAATGTTGCTTGAGTAAATGGCAGCTCGCTTCCTTTCATTGAGTGATAACAGCGGTCAAACATAAAACTGCACATTGTGTTTTATTCCTTTGCTCTGAAGTCACACAATTTTACTCTGGCTTTATTCTGTCTGTTAGAAGCAAGTCTCTAAATTCAGTCCATATTCAAATGAAGGGAGATTGGGCACCAACTCCTACCAATAGAAATGTCATATAATTTATGAGTATATCTTAAAAATGCTTTCAGTTCCAATTCCTGCTATAGGTTAATTTGTGTCTTCTTTCTTTTGTTCTGATGTGTCTGGATAGAGAGATTTACTATTTTATTGATTTCTTCAAAGAACTTGTTTTGTTTCATTGATTTTTCTCCATTTTTCTGTTCCTATTTTTTGATTTCTGATCTTTAGGTTCTTATTTTTTTCAAGTAGATTAGATCATTAATAGACTGTTTAAACATGAGAGATGTTTACTACTTTAAATTTTTCTCTAAACACTACTTTATCTATATTACACAAATTTTGTTTTGATGTGGTTTCATTTTTATTCAGTGCAGATTGCTTTTTAAGTTTTTCTTTGATCGCATGACCTTCTTTCACTATGATTTGTCTTTTAAATATTTGGGACTTTCCACATACCCTTTTGTTATTGATTTGTAATTTAATACCATATTGGTCACAGAAAAAACTTGATATGATTTGAATTCCTTTAAAATTATTGAAACTTATTTAATGGTCCAGAATATGGTCTATCTTGGTAAGTGTTCTGTTGAGTGGACTGCTCTGTGAATGTCAGAGCAAGTTGATTCATAGTGCTCTTTAAGCGTTCTGTTTTGTATGTGTGTGTGTGTGTGTGTGTGTGTGTGTGTGTCTTCTTATTCTGTGAATTAGCGAGATGAAATGTTAAAATGTCTAACTATAATTGTTAAATTTTCATTTCAATCAGTTTTTCCTCCATGTATTTTAAAGTTCTGTGCATAAAACTTTCAGGATTGTTGGTAAAGTCAGTTTGGTAAACTGTATTCCTTATGATTATGAAATGACCCATTTTATACCTAGTAATAATCTTTTCTCTGAAGTTTGTATAGTTTTTGGTATTACTATAGTGATTCCAGCTTTCTTTTGGCTTATGTTACCATTGTTCATCTTTTTCCATTCTTTAAGCTTACTTGTGTCTTTTTATTTAAAGTGGCTTTCTTCTGAACTTTGCTTTTTTATGGAATCTGACAATCACTGCTGTTTACTTGGGGGTGCTTAGATCATTTACATTTAATGTGATACTGGCACTGTTGAATTTACATCTGCTGTCTTGCTATTTTGTTTTTGTCCAATGTATTCTTTGTGTCTTCTCTATTTTTGTGCATTTTGTATTGTTCTTTTGTATAATTCTATTTTCATCTCCTATGTCAGCTCATTTGCTGTGTTCATCTTCAGTCTGTTTTCTGTTGCTGTTACATGCCAGGTAATTTATAAAGAACAAAGGTGTATATACCTCTCCTTTTTGGAGACTGGGAAGTCCAGGAGCACAGTGCTGACAGCTTGTTAGCTTCTTGTGAGGACCTTCTTGCTATGTCATGGTATGAAAAAGGTCATTACATATTAAAACAGAGCAATTACACAAGCTTGGTCTTTCTTGCTCTTCTTACAAAGCCAGTAGCGTCATCATGACCTCATCTAATCCTAAATTCCTTCCCAAGGCCATTAACATATGACTTTGGGGATTAAGTTTCCAGTTCAAGAATTCCAGCAACTTCCCCAAACCATAGCAGTGATGCATAGAAGATACGCAGTGCCACCCCGGCTGTCATTGACTTTTGTTGTCACACTGTTGCACTTTTGTAGTTAGTTCTCTGACCTATCAGAATTCTACAATATTGTTTTTGTATTTAGTCTAATACTTCCCATTCTCTCTCTCATGAGTGTTTTTCCACTAACACTCTTGACTAATTGCTGTGGGAGTCCCAGAGGGGGCTCTACTGAAAATGGATTGTATTTTTCTTACTACAGGCAATTTGAAGTTTATTGTGTTTGCTGTCTTCTGGTTGGAAATACGGGATTTTTGCAATTTTGTTTCTAATATTGATTAGTATAGTTTTGTGGGGAAGATGTAGGGGAAAAATTCAGGTTTACACATATCTCCTGTTTTCTGCATGCTTGGAAAAATATGCCTTTTGAAAAACAAGTCTTTTTTTTTTTACATGCTTTAACTACAAAATGCCTGATTTACGGTATTTTCTTGAATCAAACAAGTATTATGGCATGTAACTTGTCATTTGACCTTTTGAAATGGCTGTATTTCCCAAAGAAGGGACTTTGGATTTTTATTCTTTCAGGTAACAACACAAATTTCTACAGTAGTTTTACTGTTTTCATGTAAGATGTGAATAATTCTAGCTTGTTCTTACACCTATGTGTGGGATGTCTGTAAAGTTAGGTTAAAGTTACTGCGTAATACCTTTTACTGCTTTAATGAAATAGTGAATTATTGTTACTTGACCTTTTGAAAAGGTCAGTAGTACATTTTGTTTCATTTTTTTTAAAGGACATTTAAATGTAATGAAAGTCAGAACTGTAATATTACCATGAAAGTAAAGGTTATGGGGTACATTTAATTGTGTTCCTCTGTTTTTGAATCTGCTTTGAGGGAGTCTGTGCTAAAATTCCACATGGTAATTGTTTTTCAAGAATTTTATTACTCTTTTCATTTTATATTGTTGGAGTAAAAGATTACATTTCTGTTTATCTTTTTCTGCTTATTTTTGCTCAAATTTCACATGTATTATCCTATTTAAGTTACAAAGTTTAAACTCTACTCATTCACTTTCCAAAGAAAGTAAAACTGAATATATTTTTCAGAGAACAATCTTTCCTTTCCTTAGGAAGACTCACAAATAAAATTCTGTATATTCAAATGTATAGCCAAGTGAATATTTAGATTAAAGTAGTATTTAATGTTATTGATTTTATATAATTAAAGGTTCAACTAGTATGAAAGAATTAAATATACTCTGATTTGCAAATGTATTTCTTTTATGTCTAAATGATTACATTTTTGGAAATATATTCTCATTTTGTTAAAATTTAGAAAGTTGCAAACATGGAGCCGATAATGTATTATGTGTTCTTTTTTTCCATTATGATTTTTCTTCTATATTCAAAGCAATTTAAAGGAATTCCTTTTTTTGTAAACTTACTTCCAAAGAAATACATGTCCACTAACAATTTCATAGTCTTTCTTGTGTTGTCTGTGTTACCTTCTCTTTAAAGATGAGGCCTTAATTTAGTGTTTTGATTTCCTAGCCCTTACAAAGTTTTTGATATATAATGTTGAGTTATTTCTCCCAAATGCTTGTATTTTTCTAGTTATTTGAAAAATAACTTGGATAAATTTGATATCTTTTAGAAAATTTATGAAAATACTGCCTTTTTATGTGATTCTGTTTTACTTCTCATCATGATTAAGTGAAAGATGAAAGTTTGAGTGAATCTTTTTAATATTTTTTGTAGGGAAGAGATTTCCACCTTAGAATATTGTTGCCTGAAGATTTACAACTGAAGAATGCAAGGTGATGTGGTGTTTAGTTATATGCATGTATCATGGTGGGATAGGCAGCCTGTATAAAATGGTTTTAGTGACTAGAGTTTTGCCTGAAATGATTATAAATAACTGCTGGCAACAAACTCAAAACATTTCTGATTTTTCCAAGTAAGTGTGACATTTGCAAATAATGTCTTTGTTACTGAAATGCTTTTTGGAGGTGACATGTTAATTCTCTACTTTTTAAATTTAAGCAGTAAATAGCAATTGGGGATACTTTTCTTAACAAGTATGGAATAGGAGTATAAAGGGAAAATGCAAAAGGATTAGACTCTTTCCTCAACTTTTGACCAGTGTTATTCATATGTAGTAAGATAATGTGGGAAGACCCAAATTATTAATATAGTCCTGGTATAAATTATGTATCAACATTTACTGTTGGTAGAGACAACTAGTCAGGAGATGAAACCAGAAATTTAGGCATCGCCAGAAATCTTAATTCTATATCCCTAAATATCTCTGGAGTAGAGTGAAAGGAAAGGAATGTAGAGGTGTTTATGAATAGAGTTGATAGGATTTTGTGACTAATTCAAAGCAAAGGTAAGAGGGAAAGAAGAATAGAGGATGCTTCCCAAGTTTTTGGCTCAGATTACCAAACTCCAAAAGAGTTCACAGATGGAGAAGTGGGAGGGAGATGGTTTTAAGGTATATTGATTGTCAAATATCAACAGGAGCTATTTAGTGGGTACTCATGTATTGGTATGGAACTTGTGTGTAAGACTTGGAGTAAAGGTGTCTGTGGGAGTCGCAGTTAGCATGTGATTTGAAGCCCTGAGCATAAATAGACTTCCTAGTTTTCTATCTGTGGGATGAAAAGAGAAGGCTCGTGAGATGACTTTGAGGGCATACCAACATTTAAAGGACTAGCAACTGAAGGGGAACTTAAGATGAGTAGAATTGAGCAGAAGAGTAAGTAGACAATTTGTGTCGTAGTATCTCTGAAGCTGAATAAAGAGCCTGGAGAAATGATTGGTGAGCATCCATGAGTGTTGCAAAGGGATCAGGTTAGATATGAATAGGGTTTGTGCAGTGGTGGAAAAGCAGGTTGTATTGGATTTTGGACTGGATTAGTGAGTAGAAAGGAAATAGAAAACTATAAGCTACTTTGAAGAAAAGCCCAGACTAGACGAGGATGCACTCAAGGACGATTGATTTTTAAAAGATGATATATACTTAAATTAATTCATTAAGAAAAAAACTAGTAGAAAATAAGTTAAGGATACGCAGTAATGAGATAATTAATGAAGTGATCATGTTGGTAGCAAGGTATGGGAAGCACATTTGGAGAGGGTGTCACCATGGACAGCTGAGTGAACTACTCTGCCACCGATAGGGGAGACAGAGTGGGTATGGGGTTTAACAAACCAGGAATGGACGGAATTGTGATCGTTTAGAAAGGCCATAGTTTGGAAAACTCAGAGAAACTTCCTACTTATAGGTAAGTAATTCTTTAGAAAAGTTGCTTACCTAACCAATATTAAGAGCAAGGTGAAGAAAGCTAGGAGATAGATGAACTTTATCACCACCTATACAGTGGTGATACAGTTAAAAGTATATATTCAGAGTAGTTTGGAATTTGAAGAATATATTGCTACATATGCTTTTTGAAATGTAAATTTGATACATTATGATCCAAACTGTTGGTTATATTTAGCCTACCTTGGAGAAGAATCTAGTTCACTAGAAAACTTTGCTTTAGATATGTTAAAAAAAAATACTTGTTTGAATGCCATTTACTGATTGCAGTTATTTATATTCTGAAGTAAAATTAATACTGACAGTTTGAAGACAGGACTTTCAACAGTATAAGAGGCAAAAATTTTATTAACTTGTCAGAATTACGTTTATGTCATCCTTTTGATTATATGTGCATGTGTGTTAGCATAAAATAAGTTTTCTCTTTTTAATTCTGAACAATGAATAAATTATTTTGTCCTGTTCAAATTTTAGATTACTGTGTAGTTGGCAGCTGAAAACAATTCTTAATGGATACAATCAAATAGTCCAACAGGTGAGTCTTTTAACTGGTTTATGCTTTAAATGAGAATAAGAAATTACTAAATTTACTCTTTAAAGATCTGCTTTGCGGTATGTTATAACAGACAGGTTTAACAGTGGCCCAGTTTTTTGTAGGTTTCAATTCAAACTGTTAGAAAGTTTAAGGATCTATATAAAAATTTTTTGGGGGGTCGGGTGGGGTGATGCTTTTACCTCCAGTCAGAATTTGTGTTGAAATTGATTTGCATTCTTTAGACTTAAGATTTCCAAATGCATCCTTTTTCATTATTTCCTGGATGATTTTTTCTTTTGAAACTGAATAGTGGTGATGGAAAACAAACAAACAAAAACTTGGACCTAGACTATCTGTGGAAAAAATGGGAGATTTTAGCTTTAGATTAGCATGGAAAAGGTGTGAGAGAATTTACTTAGGATCCTATGTACTTGGATAATGAGAGGAGAGACAAGCAGGGTACCTCAGTTAGTGCTTAGGGTTCCTCTGTCTGAAAATTCCTTCAAGGATTTCAGCAAATTAAAAAAAAAAAGCATTGTTACTGAAGCAACTGAAAATAATAAGATGCCTACTGTAGAAAAATAAATGTTACAGAATTGTACTTTTTGATGATTTATTCATTTCTTTGTTTTTTTCTGGTTTCCTATATTTTTTTCTATTTTACAAAAGCAAGTTATATGGGATAACTGACAAGGAGAATCACTCACATGAACCATTACTGAGTCACAAAGAAATATAAGAGAGAATAATTTATAGAATGTAAGCTGTCATACTAACAGTATAGTTACAGCAGATTTTTAATGACATGTTTAAATTATTTTACTCTATTTTCTTTCTTTTTTCACTCTGTTCTCCCCATTTCTATGACTGTTTATATCTTACACTTAAAGTTTAAGAATGACTTGTTGACATATTTAAGTAGTCTGAAAAAAGTGTTAATGAAGGCTCAGCATAACATTTTTCTCTACTAATTCATCAAGAAAATTCCTAAAAGAGTCTTAACTACTTTATTACTGTCTTTGAGCTTCAATTGGTCAAGCAGAACCTAGTATTAGTTTGAGTTGCATTTTTTTCCAACGTTTAGTTGAATACTATTTTCTCTTGTATCATTTTTAGTAAATATGGACCAAGTGGTCAAAGAACTTACTCTGTGAAGGACCATAATAACCTTTTCAGGCTTTGTGGGTCATCAGTCTCTGTTAAAACTACTTCTCTCTGTTCTTATAGCACCCAAGCAACCAGAGGCAAATGGTGAATGAGTGGGCATGGCCACATTCCAATAAAACTTTTTAATAAAAATAGGTATTGATCTGGATTTAGCCTCTGAACTGTAGTTTGCAGAACTTTGGTATAATTTATTACTCATCTGCTATAAAGTAAAGGAAAGAAATACCATACAGAAGAAGGTGTAATCTAAGATTTATTCTGCAAATATGTACCCACTCAGATTTAGGTTAAGATAGTGAATGATATGCCTTCACACAATATTGAAATACCTGATTCTTATTTTTCTAATCTGAAATGACTGAACAGTTTTATACTTAACTTTGTTAAGAACTGTGTGGTATTGGTGCAGTGCAGCAAAAATGCAGTGTTTTTATTTCAAGCAGAGAAATGATGTGTTCTGAGAAAGCAATATAAGACTTGACAGTTTCTTTGCTTCCTTATAATTTTTGTCTGGGAAATGGAACCATAGCTGTTAAATGTTCATTCCATTTTAGAAATTATTTCCTTTCTATCATTTTCATTTTATTGAATGTTTCTTTTCTTTTGAATTAGTTTGAGTTATGAAAGGACAAACATAGCGATCAGTGTTCTTTAAGGTCAAGAAAAAATATGCAGTATTTTTGATAAGCTATTGTTAATTCATTACTTTAATCAGACTTTTTACAACTTAAATTTATTTTTATGATTATGATTTTTATACTTAATGTTCCTCTTTTCATTCATATCACTCCCCTTCTTCCCTTCTCTCCCTCTGTCCTCCTCTTCTTTTGTAAAATAGTGATATGATTTGTTAGCTTTAACTTGGTGGTAAACAATATTAAAGGGTCAGGAATGTGTGAGGTTTTCAGTGACACCAAATTAGATTTGAGAGTTTTAGTTACTCTTTCAAAATGATCTTGGTAGGAGCAGTAGGGATGATGATCAATACTTCCCCACTTAATACTTCTAAGATGTAAATATAGCTATGTTTTTCACATCCATTTCAACTTATATTTCATTTTCAGTGAATGGAGTATTCATTTTACATATGAAATTAATTAGAAATGTTTTGATTTAGAGAATGCAGCACTCTCCTGATCTAATGAGCTTTATGATGGAGTTGAAGATGATTTTGGTAAGAATTTTTTTCTAACATTGTGAATGTGTTCTGTAAGTCTTGATTGTTTCCAGAACCTCTAAAAGCTAACATTATTAGAATTTAAAACTTGTCAATCTTCAGTCACTTTATTTTTTTTTACTATGTACTTAAATGTGGATGGTACTTTTCTTGAACTTTGATTGTATCATAAACTTGGTACCTTTGATGCTAGTGCTGGGCAGATACTGAAGAAATAAAATGTATTGCTGGTTTATCAGAGGATTTAACATCCAAGGAGAGATTAGGTGGTCATACTTAAAGGCATAATGTTAAATATAAATAATTTTGTATACATCTATATATTCCTGAATATTTATTGCTAAATATATTTATATTATATATTGCATGTATGCATACATATATATGTATATACATGTGTATAGTTAAAATGGTAATTGCTTATTCAGTTAATCAGTTTTGCACAAAATACTTGATTATTTAATTTGTCCTGTAGACATTTTACTATTTTCTTTTTTATTTGTTTTGCTGGGTGGGGGTACATTGTGGTATTTGCAAAAGTTCTTACAGTGTGTCAAGTATATCATACTAGAATTCATCCCCTCCACAACTCTCCTTTATTTCCCCCTCCCCCGATTCCTTGAATAGTTTCAACAGGTATCATTTTTGCATTTATGTACATGTGCACATGTGTACACATTTTTTGCACCATATTCAACCTCTCACCCCCTTTCCCCACCACCTCCCCCATCCCGCTGGTACCAACACCCTTCTCCCTGATTTTCTTAAAACTTTCTTATTACCCACATTTTCAACATAAAAGAGGATTAGAGTAAATATAATTAGACTATGATCTGATTCGACATTTTGCCATTCATATTTCTTCCCCTAACTTTTTTTTTTTTTAGAAGAAAGAGTAGTGTTTAAAAGTATTAAAAAATATTTTAAAAGTATTTAAAAGGAAGTCCTGGATATTGAATTCATTTCTTTATAAATATATCACTATGTATCTCCTACAGCTAATTGATTTCATCTTGTTTTAGATATATAATTATAAGCTCAATGAAGTTACTGATAATTCCTTAAGGCTGCTTTGTTTGTATCAGTATTGACAAGGTCCACACTTTTGTTTAGTTGATATGTCTCTTAAATCTTATATAAGATTTGTAGTGTAGTTAGTTTATGCAACATCTCATCACCCTATTCCTTTTCTTTCATGTCATCTGTCATTTGTTGGATATATGAAATTATGTGTCCTGTAAAATTTCTCACATTGTGACTTTAGTTTGTTAGGTATTCATGTAATCTTATTTATTTATTTTTGACAGTACTGAGGTTTGAACTCAGAGCCTCATGCTTGCTAGGCAGGTGCTCTAGCACTTGAGCCACTCTGCCAGCCTTCATGGAATATTTTTAACATATTCTTCGAAAGGTTGATTGAGCATCCGTTATCTGAAACTGACCAGATGCCACAAGTGGAAAATTTCATGCCATCGAACTTTATGTAATGTACAATTATTAAACTATTGCTTAAAATTACCTTGAGGCTGCGTGTATAAGGTATATATGAAATGTAAATAATTTTGTGTTTCGGTTTTGGTTCCATCCCTAAGATATCTCGTTATGTATATGTAGATATTCCAAATTAAAAAAAAATTGAAATCCTAAACGCTTCTTACCCCAAGCATCTGAGATAGGAATGCTCACTTTATACCTCCTTTACAATCTGGGTGTTAGAGCTACAGCTCTCAGCAGATTTGGGTCCGTTTGTTTTGATAAAAAATCCTTGATGCTCTGTACTTACATTTCGTTAGGAGTTACTTGATGTCTGCTGATTACTTTTTTTATTTTGTAAAGATTGATCAGTAAGTTTAGATCTATCCAAGGCAAAGTTTCCCATTAGCTTGTCACTTAGTAATTTTAGCATCCAACACAAATCCTTGCCTATATCCACTGTTAGATTTTGCAAATGGTGATTTTTTAATCTCTTGATATACTGGGGATTGAACACAGGGCTTCGTGCATGCTAAGCAAGTGCTCTATCACTGGGATATATCCCCAGCCTTCAAATAGTGATTTTTAAAAATTCCATCATCTGCATTTATTAGTGGAAAGTTTTTATAGAGAAAAACCCTCATTAGTTCTTAGCTTTATTTGAGGTAAAGCTCATACTAGAGAGATAGGATAAGTGCTTGTTTCTTTTTAAAAAATCAATTTTTAGAATAATGAATTGGTGCCTAGCAACTGTCATATAGAACTAAAGATTTTTTTAAGTATCATTGTGAACTCATGAGATTTTATTTATTGGATTAACTTTAATCCATTCTTTTCAATGCTTAAAGCGTACCATTTTTGGTCAGTTGTAAGCCCTTTTATATTGGCTCCTGAGTTCTTTTAACATAACCTAACCTTCTTTGCTTTCTGACACTAGTTTCCCCAGGCTTATTTATTCATCCTGTAATCAGCCATTTCTCCAAATTCATATTTATATATATATTTGTGTGTGTGCATGTGTGCGTGCATGCATGAGAGAAGAGAGAGAGAGAGAGAGAGAGAGAGAGAGAGAAAGAAATGGTATTTGAATGCCAAAATCTGGAAACTGGCATGATCTTTGATGTTACTGCTTCTTGGCTATTTCAATGGACAAAGGTAGGAAACATTTTAGAGTATGATTAATCATGAGCTCACATTGATATTTCCAACTCAAATTTGGCATTACTGGATTTTTACTTCTTTGGTTTTATGCTTGCATCTCTTATATTTAGAAATACTGATTTCTAATGGTATTAACATTATTATGTTTTTTGATAATTGTGTTAGTCACTTTTTGTTGCTGTGACAAAATACTTGAGAAAACAACTTAAGGGAGGAAGAATTTATTTTGGCTTACAGTTTCAGAGGTTTCAATTCATGGTTACTTGGCTCTGTTCCTTCTGGGCCCATGATGTTCTGGTGAGGCAGAACATCACAGTGGGGCTGCCTATGTTGGAGCAAAGTGGCTCACCTCCTGGTGGATAGGAGGAAGAGAGATGGACAAAAAGGGGCCAGGGACAAGATATACCCTTCACCAACTCAGCTTCCATCAGTGCCATTCAGGTCTGAAATCATCAGTGGATAAATCCACCAGTGAAATAAGCACACTAATGATACAGTTACTTGTTAGTAGCATCACCAGCTGGGGTCCAGGTCTTCAGCACTTGAGCCCTTTTTGGGGGTACACTTCATATCCAAACCATAACACTATATTTTAGTTGTAGTTTTACTATATCTGTTTACATTTGTTTATATCAAAATTATAATACCAGCGTTGCTATTGACAATTCAAAGTGGTTTAGTATTGCTTCAATAAGAAGAAATAGCTTCTTAAGGTCATTTTGGCACCTTTTTTATTCTAAGTAGCACGTACTATATACGAAGAATTAATTGCCTCCATTTTTCCTGAGTCCTTTTTTAGTTTTTTATAGCTATCATTTATTAAATACCCATTTTATTTCTAAGTCATAGCTATCTTATACAGTACTGGAGTTTGAACTCAGGACCTTGCCCTTGCTAGACAAATGATCTATCACTTGAGCCACACCCCCAGTCCTTGAATCCTTTTTTTAATCCGAGCCTAAGGCCTCAAAACTAAGAAATGCTAAAAGTGAGGATTTAAGCCTATGCTGGTAAAGCTTTCCTACTGTACCTTTGGCTCCTCTGTGAAGAATGGTTGTTTCTCTCCCCTTGCCTTGTTACCTGTTCCCATCCTAGAGGAGGATGGTCTGACTCAAAGTAGAGTTTACAAATATCATAAATCTGGGATTGAAATACATTTTTATTATCCAAGTTTATTTTTACCTTTAGTATTTATGGGTATTAGTAATTAATATTTTTGAATAACAATAGAAATTTCAGGGCTGGGGATGTAGCTTAGTGACAGAGTGCTTATCTACCATGCACAAGGCCCTGAGTTCAGTCACTGGCACTGTAAGAAAAATAACAAAAAAGCAGAGATTGGTGGCAAATGCCTATAATCCCATGTACTCAGGATGCTGAGGCAAGATCCCAAGTTCAAGGCCAGCCTGGTTAATTTAATCGAGACCCTTTCTCACAAAAGCAGAACAAAAAAACTGGAGATGTATTTCAGTAGTAGAATGCTTGTCTAACATGCACAAAACCATCTCCAGTATCGCAAAAAATTTTTTTTTCCCCAAAAGAAACAGTGTGCACCTGGGTATGGTTTAAGAGGTAGAGTACTTTTAAATAAATGGAAGGCCCTGAGTTCAAGGCCACCAAAAAAAAAAGTGTGTAAAGTTATAGTGTAAGAACTGTGTTAAGTCATTTTATTCAGTAACTAGTAGAGGACATTCTTAATCATGCAGACTTTTTTTTTTTTGGTTTGGACCACCAGGCTATTTTTAGATTATATTAGATGTTTAGGTTATTGAAGAAAGGCAG